ATTTATCAAAGCTTTATTTCATTCTTTATAGTGTATTTATTTCTCTATAATATTTAATTATGCAAACTCACCACCTACAAGTAATCATATGAGAGTTCAGGCTGGTGTCTGCGTAACCCTGGCTGGATGAAATCCCACTGTCCCATTTCATGTGATTTTTGTGAAAAGAAACCAGGTAATTCACATGCATAATACTACCTTTTGTAGGGTGAAGAATACTAGAGCTGTCTTTGCATATTTCAGAACCTGGGGTAACGCTTCCTCCAATATTACCGACAAGCCCTCCAGGTGATTGTGAAGACTTAAGGGTCGACTGTCTTGTTCTTGTTTCTCAGAGGTTAGCCACTTTGTTTACATACTTGTTCCTTTTTTGTAAGAGGTTACAGCGAAAAATGGTGGTACGTGGGGCCTGTATCTCACAATAATGCATATCTTGAAAGGAAGCCATTACGTGGAGATGGGTGAGTTTCGAGTGGAAGGAGCTTACTAGTTGGTCAAAGGCGAATGGGCGAATAAGACTGGTAAATCCATCATACTCCAAAGAGGCACACCTTTTTTGTCGTTGATTAGACGAAGAAACGACACAGCGCAAAATAATTTTGGAATGTCAACCACGATTAACCGGGGTAGCCGAAAGCGTCATGTTTGCATGATCTCTATCGCACGATCCGGCACTTATAGGTGGCCTTATTCATGTTAGCCGCATTTACTAGGCAACTAAACAAAACTGTATGAAGGAGAATAATCCTTCTATTATTATAAAGCGCTAACTTTGTGTGTCGGTTTGTGTATCTGTATGTGTGTGTGTGTGTGTGTGTGTATGTATGTATGTGTGTCCGTCCGCAAAATGAAGTGAGTGAGAAGGAAGCTCATGGGATAAACAAACCGCTAACAAATCGGGTAGCTTACAGGATTTGAGATATCAATGTTTTGTAGCAGGATAGTTGTGATAACACTCTTAGGGCTATATAAACACCTGCTTAGCACACTTCCGTTCATTCCACATGGTGCTGCAGTGGCAGCTGGAGGGCAGTGGAGAGAGGAAGGGAGGATGAGGAAGGGAAGCGAAAAATCTACCGTCATATCATGATTGTGTCCCTTCTACTGTATGAAACACCATTGTGTTGCATACGCGTCACTTCCACGAGGTGTTGGTGTCACAGGAGGAAGGGACCATAGCGGAGGATAGAAAGCTTGCGCAGGAAAGGAAGGTCCCGGCGGTTGACGGGGGACTAATCTGGTTAAATAAAGCGAATTATCCGTCACTGGCGACACACAGGGGTGGGCGGAGCTCTTGGGGCGTTACGGTTTGAGAGCTCCGGGGATTGACAAAAATAATAAGGTTCGTCTGAGCGAAGGAGCCGAACGAACATTTAATTGTTTTGTTTATAAAGGTTTTTTCTTTTGATTGGAGGCGTTACGGTTTTTCGATTTATTGAGCCTTACTTCACCGCAAATAGCTCACCGTAAAAACTTCAAATCTCAGCTCCTTCGTCTCCTGACTATTTAAGCTTAGGCAAATGCAAAATAAGGAGCCTCGGACACTAAGAGGAAAATAATAATCGACGTCTCAAATTTCGATGGTTTTTGTACTTTGTGATGTTTGCAGCTTTATAGGTACTGTAAAATTTCCGAAAGCTTTATGAAGAAGTATTGCGCCAAGAGTTGTGGATTTTGCTTCAAGCCACCACCAACGGAGGTCACGGAAGCAAGCACAGTTCTGCCTACGTTGACTACAAATCCACCCTTCATCACATTCTGGAGGACATCAACACCAAGGTTTGGCCTATTTATAAAATAGAAATTGTAGAGAAAATCTTATTGGTAAGGGAAAAAATCTTGATAAAGTTGCTGAGATTTACCATATAAGGAGGCTAAGTCCACTGCTTACACTGCTGTCCATTAACTCGCTTTTTAAAGAAGGTCTGCGCTCGCTGTCATTTTCACCATCTATTTCAATAATTAAAATTTTTGACATTCACATGAAAATCCACCCTGTAGGTCACTTGGCACTGTTCCAGCTCTGGCATCTCATCAAATCTCCTATAGGCCAACTACATGCGCTTTTCCAGTGGATTTGTTTAACCCTTTGACTACTGGTGGGACACATGTGTCCCACTTCGTAGTCAAAGACACTACCACAGTTCCAGGGAAATATTGAGGCAGGAGGGCTCATTTGATGGCTGAACTGTGCACATATAGAAGCTTTCTAATTCCTACTATGACAATTAGTCGTCAGAAGCTAAAGCGAGTCATCCTGCGTAAGTTAATCTTTGACTTGCTGGACACATGTTCGCCTGTCGTATCAAGACAGCTTCGCACAGTTCCAGGGAATATTATGGAGGCAGAAGAGCCCTTTTGATGGCTGAATTGTACACATATAGAAAATTTGCAATTCTTATTCCCATCCCAAATCATCCTAAGTCAGGGTGCGTTACCCTGGATAAGGTAATAAGCAGGTCTTATCGCAGGTCACCGTACAGTGTTCACACCTCCCAGAAGGGTAAATTTCGGGCTTCACACTCTTTATACTTGTTGTAAATAGTGTCTCAAAAGTTATCTCCCTCAATTATATGTTCACGTGCAACATAAGCAAACCAATAACGGATGGGGGCATTTTGTTGGTCGCAAGCCCGTCAGTAGACGACGCAGTGTACTGCGACTGTGTTGGAGATTCCGTCCTCTAGGATCTGCCACTTCGGATGGAGCGAAAGTGGTAGTAAAAGACTCCTATGATGGCGCAGATTTCGGGAATAAAAACCCACGAAAAATCCTTCACAGCAGAAGCAGCCGGTGAACGCAGCTTGTAGCGCGGAGCAGCACTCCTACCAAGTGAAGCTTGCAATTCTTTCCAAGTGCGTTCCCAACCGGACATTAGCTTATTCCAGGAATGCAATGTGGAAGATGTGTTTTTGGTAAATGCTAAGTTAATCTGCTGGTCTCTTTTTTTTCGAAAATGGTCATTTCGAACGCGGACATGGTGTGTGTGAGGGGCCACTACCGCGCGTATGGTCCCTGGATCAAATCCCAGCTCAAACCGCGCACGTCAGCCAAATTTCTGTAGATGGTCAGTTGTTGCTAGGAGCGAGAGATACTACACAGAACACATCGACAGCTTGTTTTTAAAAAAGTCGTAGCCTAAGGTCATCAGTCCACGCATACTTTCTGGCATTCGGCACATCAGATGATTTCTATAATTTACCTGCCTTCTTTCGCTACTTTGCTAAAATTCCTCCCGAGGACCACACTCTACGACCACCAAGTGCCTCTCATCACCGGCGACACTAGCACTTTAAGGAGAACTTCTGATTGCGTAATTGTGCAGGAAAAAAATCACCTTCATAACACCATTCAGAAAACTGTTTGACAGTTGGAGAGCAGATCGAGATCAGCACCCAAAAACACTATTCATGGTATTGTATTGTTGGGTGTGGCCATTCCAACCCATGATGTCTTTCGCCTGGTTTGCGATAGTATGTGATTATTACACTGAACCTTCCATCTCCTCCCACATCTAAAGTTCCGGCGCAGTGGCAGTGTCCGCTGGTTTTTGTCGTGATCAGCCGTTTTGCTGCTGTCTAGGGCATCTTCTACCGTGGCCGTGACCTCGCCACCACGGAAAGCATTGAAATTTCCATGGAACCTTGATTGAGTCCGAGACATGTTGATAGAACTTAACACTAAAACTGCAAAATGAATCTGCCAAGAAGCTGTTTGCAGTCAAAGTTGGCTAAAGCAAACCCCACAAAGCCGCGCTGCTGGACCTCAGGCTTCTGCAAGGAGAGGGTGTCAGTGGCCATTCGTGTCACAACCGAGAGGTCATGGTTCTTTTCTCGTAGGAGTACAAATTTCAAGAGCACTTCCACTACTCCACGGCGACTTCGAAAGTCAGGAGGCTGGCACGTTTAATACGTACCGCTTCAATTTCACGAACTTTGACTCCTCACGACTTCCTTGGCAGGTTCATTTTGCAATTTAATTTCCATACATATTGTAGTGACGGCGTTTGACCCCGCGTATATCGATATATCAGGGTCTTAGTTCAAACTTTCATGGGAAGAGTGATGCCTTTCCTGGTTAGGTCCTTCTAGATCACGTCCATCCACCTCTTCTTTAGGGTTCCCCGCGGTCGTTCGCCTTATCAGAGTCCATCGCTGATCTTGTCGGATGATCCTGTGGCCTTCTTGGCACATTCCCATACCATCGCAGATGTTGTTGATTACTACACTAAAGCATGACTATACATTTTCAGCCCACGAGGAAGAACTGGGACCACGTCATTTACCACATCTGAGCCTTCGACGTCACATTCATGCAAGGATCGTAAACATTTCTGTCAGCATTGGAAAATGGCAGGATTTTGCGAAGGAATTTTCATGAGCTACATGAAGAAAAACTGTGCTGCTTCTTGCGGAATGTGCTAATCACTTCACTGATATTACGTGTAAATGCAATGTTAATAGTATAAGTTATTTATTGGCTCTTGAGGTTAATAAGTGGAAAACCCGCTGGAGCAGCCTGCCACGATTCCTGAACTGAGGGGGGCTTGGTGATTTGAGTGCACTGAATCAAAATTTCAAACAGTCAAACTCCAGCCAGACAAATGAAATGCATAAGGATGTTCCAACTGGAGAATTTTCTTGCGGGTTTTGATATTCAGAGTTCCGATTCACCTTCAAAATACAACCAAGCGCTTCACCTCTTTTGGCAACCGTTCCACTTGTCAACCTCAAAATGCACAAGACAGCTGAAAGACCTGCCGAGGTTGCAAGAATGGAGTAGCTGGAGATGCTGATATTTCGAATGCAATATCATATCTTCATGTTAATTAACTTGCCTATGACCTCTATCTTCACATAAGTCTTTCAATTTAATTTATTTCTTTAAGTCGATACTTCCTCAAATCTCTTCGTAAATGAAGCATCATTCAAAGCAGAATCAGTTACTTATGGTAGCACAGTCAACAATTTCACAGTTATGTTTCAAGAAGGTCATCTAGCTGTCTGAGCACATTTAAGCTAATATCTTAGAATCACTACCATCAGGGTGAAAATCGGTCGAGGATTTTCGCCTGTTCAGTAAAGCTCTCCCGTGCGACATTCTCTCTAAGTTATTCTCACATATCATGATCAAAGATTTTTTCGACCGTTATTCACCCTGACCATAATCGGTGCTCCATTTCTTTGAGTTCCATTTCCTTCTTGATATCCAATCCTCATGTAATTTTATTTATTCATAAGGAATTATGAGTTGTCACACGAGTCTAATAATTTTTTTCTGAATCAAGCTTCCTGATGTTTATCTCTATTTCCTGGACAAACATTCCAGGATTAATGTACGCTCAATTCGATTATTCGCAATGGATTATACTTTGTCTTGTCCCGTTTTCAGTGGTTATTTAATAATTTCCTATTGGCCTATATCCGAATGAAGTTCATAACCATACTACTTGTTTACGACATCGGAAATGTCGGATGGATAAAAAGGCTTCGGTAAGCATTGGAGTACTAACTTCATACGTACATTTTATCACATTTATTTATTTATTTTATTTTTATTTATTCTCGTGCGCTCGTAAGAACGCGCAGGGGAACGTGTTCACATGGAGCCACGAACAGGAACAGAGCTGATAATAAGAAACGAAGAAAAAAAAACATCTGTAGCTATGGTTCAATAGTTCCTCTCAAGAAAACAGGAACACTGGGTAAAACATGGGGTAAAACGGCTAATACAGTACAGTAACTTTATAGGTGTCATACGTTTGGTACAGACGATTGAATGACAGTGATCTAGAATAAGACCAAATCGCTGGCTCGAAACCCGTAGTTCATAGTAAGAACGAAAGGAACAAAAAATTACATTTGTTTTGATAAATAATTTGAAAAACTGGAACAACTGCTACGCGTTTAAACTCCCGCCGGACATCTGTCGCAAATGTTGGCGGCGGGAACGTTTTCACCTGATTCACGGTGTGCTGTCACTAGGAATTCTTTTTGAACCTTTGACTTGTTGCACTAACATTTCACAATTTTACTGCAACATATTCTGTCGATTGTTTTGGTCTCTACCTCCCAAAATCTGTTTGTCTGTAACTCCAATCGAACGCTTTTAATCGGGATTCTTCACGGTTGCGTACCCCAAGATTAATTGCGCCCCAAGCGCATGTTTTCCCATTCCCCAGCCTGAGCGCCGCAGAATGATTCTGAGCTGTTATAAGAAGTGGTGGATTTCGGGAGATCTGCCACTCTTCGGAAGCCGAATTTCGGGAGTGAAACTATGTACGTTGTCTTTAGCGATCATAAGTGACATTCATGTTTGTTAAGGGTGCAAGAATTTTTCGGGAAGGATTCCTCAATGGTTTTTTCGAGGCATACGCTCTTTTCCTCCATTTTTCAGCGACTATGGATATTTACTGCTACACTAAGACGGCTGTTGGAAATGCTCACTAAGTGATAGCTGCAGTGAGATGGATGATATTAGATCACGTCATCAAACAGCGATACCTAACCCTCACGTCACCTACGAGTTAACTCATAAACATAATAGCATGATGTGTCCCTGATGACTCACACAGATCTGCCGAGCCATATGCTGTAGGAATGTATAAATCTGCAACGTTTTAATGGCTAGAAAGTATGGCAATTGGAGCAGGTAGACATATGTTTATTTTAAGATTTACAACTTATGGCACATGTTCTGCCTGGACGACCTGTCTCATTTGTAGAGCATGAGAACATCCTGTAGATATCGTCATGTTCATGCTCAGGAGCTGTAGGGCACACCAAAAGTATAAAAAGGCTCATTCCTCATAAATTTGTAGGAGCAGAAGATGAGGATGGATGGCAACTTGTGGTAGTGCTACTGTGATCATGGGATCAATCACCCAATGCCCATTGAGCAATGTTTACTTGATCCTGATCTAAAATCGATGCATGGCACGTCTGAAAAAGATCCGAAGCCGAGTGCCTGCTTTATCATTTATAATGACAGAATCCTAAAGAAAAAAAAGTGGACCGTGGATTGCGTGAGTCACAGTTACAGTTAAATGAGTTCGACTGCGCTGAGAATCACGTAGATGTGCTTTTTTCTCCACAGAGGGCTTTTCTCCACAGGCTTTCTGCTTTCTTTCTTCTCATCTTATTGCGAATTCCGAACGGACGTCGCGTAGCATCATATCATGTGCCTCGAAAAGCACATGCCCTCGATGCTACAGTACCTCCCATAACTTTGTTAAAAAAGACGCGGAAGACGCGGATCCGCGTCTTTTTCGTCTTTTTGCTATAATTTGATTTCTTTTCACTTTTTAACATGGAAAACTATACCATTAGACTCAGCTCGTCGAGAGTTGGTTTTAGTAGATAAATGATAGAGATAGATATTGCACGGTTTCACCGTTGTGGAGCCTTAGGGTACAAAAAAATCAACCTTTTATTTACAGCCAAATAAAAAAAATGCAGAAATAGCACTTAGATCATAAACTCTGCCAGTCACGGCAGCAAAAGACAAAAAAGGTTTCCTAGATAAAACGGTGGTTACTTCACTTACTACCGAGTAGCAGGCAGGAGGGTGGTTAGCGGGAGTCGAGTCCTGCAGGCGTCGCACGTCCTTGTCGAACTATTCCCCCGGAACCGTCTCTCCCCGGCGTCCATGTTTTGGCGCGCTTTATTTCCCGCGCCCTCCTTCCCGCCTGCGTAGCACTGGGTATCAGGCATATGCGTAACATACACAAAAGAAAATCAATCATGAGAGTCAAATCAAAGATCATTGCAATCATGAGAATCAGATCAAAGATCATTGCATTTAGTGTATCTGTTACCATACAAAAGAAATCATTGTTAAAAGAAAACCTTCATCGAATATCAGGAGCAGACAATGCCAACTGCCTACAACTACATGGGTACTACACGAGTTCCATAGGAATGCCCTGTCAAATTTTAGAAAACTTCATTTTTTCAAACCAAAGTACCTGAGGCAACTCAATAGCGAGCGATCAGCATCTCCTAAGCACATTAGTCTCACTTTTATTTCCATTCCTTGATCTATTTCTCCAGTAAAAAAGCCGTATAAAGTTTGCAAAATTGCTTCGGCGCGTATCTCTTCTGGTTATAATTATAGCGAGCGACGCTCTCTAATGAGTAGCCTTAGGCACTTTGAAATTAAAAAATCAAATTTTGTGAAATTTAGTAAGGCAGATTCATAGAACTCGACGAGCTGAGTCTAATGGTATAGTTTCCCATGTTGAAAGTAAAAAGAAATCAAGTATAACAAAAAGACGAAAAAGACGCGCTTTCCGCGTCTTCCGCGTCTGTTTAACAAAGTTATGGGAGGTACTGTACTGTACTCTGATTTTTATCGAGGTCGTTGGCACTCCAGTAACGTGAAAGAATTTCCCTCTGAAAGCAGAGCAAACGTGAAAGCTGGGATGTCGATGTGCAAACAAGTAGCAAATTCATTTTACAGGGTGGATAAAAATTACGGTAACAAGAGGTTGCTGCTGTCAATTTTAAATTTTAAACAGCAGGAGCGTAAT